GTTATGCAGGTTTCCAGTGGGCTCTTGAATAGTTTATGTTAATAACAGCTTTGTCAGGAGGAAGTTCAAGAAACACAATTCTCCAAATCAGGAGAAAGGGGTTTTCTCCCAGAATACCTGAACTCTCTCTCTTTTCCAAAGGGTGGGCTATACACAGTATGCTGAAACTTTCTTCTTTCTCATTGTAGAAAGTTTCTTCAAAGAGAATGGGCACTGAGAGAAGACAGGCGAAGCCGGCTCCTAATTTGATCCTGTTTCCTTGTATAAAGACATCCTGGAACAAGAAAGGCGTCCCTGCACCCACAGCCGGTGGTGCCTGTCCATCCGCTCTCAGCCTGGCCCCTACAGCGCACTTCTAACCTTCCCGCCTCCACTCCAGTGTGGGTTTGCAGTGGGGCCGGGTGGGGGGGGGGGGGGGGTGGCACGCATGAATACTCTTCTGTTTTGCTTTTTGATACAAAACTGTTTTCTTTCCCCTTTGCTCACCCTGCAGCTGCGGCTCCTTAGTACTCTGATCCTTTTTAAATATTGTGGCAGAGAAACATGCTGCTCTCAGAGCAGAAGAAAACCTGTGCCTCTGGGAAAGGAGGAAGGAAGAAGGCTCTTCTAGAATGATCCAGTATGCATGCGGCAGTCCTGCCCACATTCACCACTCTGGCCGTGGCCGGGGTGCCCGGGCAGACAAGCCATAAGCCTGACTCCCATGTTGTCTGTGTGGATTTGGATTCCTCAAAGAGAACAAACTCACAGTGACCAGCAGGGCTAACAGGGCTGCTGACCCCGGGCTGGTGCACCGGTGACCCTGTGTCCCATCCCTCCCCTCCCACCACAGGGCTGACGAGCCCTGGCTGCCGGGTCCGAGGGACCAAGCCACAGCACCAACACCAGTGCACCTGGACCCACGCCAGGCCTGGCGAGGAACGGACCTCTCTGTCTCAGAATCTTTCTATCTCAACCTAAAAAATAAGAAAATGCAGGGCATTTGGGTGGCTCAGTTGGGTTAGCATCCGACTCTTGATTTCGGCCCAGGTCGTGTCTCACGGTTGGTGGGGTCGAACCCCGCATCGGGCTCTGCACTGACAGGATGGAACCTGCTTAGGATCCCCTCACCCCCTCTGCCTTTCAATCTCTCTCTCTCAAAATAAACAATGAATGAAAACATAGACCCCAAAGTTAAACATCAACAATGAGACAGACAATATGTCTCCTGTCACGATACACTGAGAAAGATGAAACACCCTTCCCACCATGAGGAAACCTCTGAGAACCCCATGCTGAGGAACAGTCTACAAAGCAAAACATAACTGTCAATGTCACGAAAGACAAAGACAGCCTGAGGACTGTTCCAAATCGAAGAAAACTAAAAAGGCCAACAACTGAATGCATTGCATGATCCTGGATTTAAAAGAAAAAAAAATGTTTTTTCTATAAAAGGGAATAACTATTTGTATCATTAGCACAGTTTGTATGAGGACAGTATCCTATTGATGGTAAATATTGAACAGTATCCTATTATTAAATTTCTGGATTGTGATCACTCTGCTGTAATGATGCAGGAAATCCACGTTTTAGAATAAAGGGATGTGGTGTCTGTAACTCACACTTACTTTTTCTGAAAAAGGTTCAGAAAAAGTAATGATAGTGTGTAGGGGATGGGAGAGAGGGACAGACGAAACAAATGGGGCCAAAATGCTAACAGTTGAGCTGGCTGGGGGAAGAGTATATGAGAGTTGCTTGTACTTTACTGAAACTTCCTGTAGGTTTGAGATGATTTCAAAACTGTGTTTTTTAAAAATTTAAAATTCATCCCTGATGTCCAGTTTGTGGTCCGGAAACCAATGAGCTCTCAGGAGCACTTATCAGCAAGGGGCCCACGGGCTGAGGGAGAGATGCCCTCCCTCCTTGCCCCCCCTCCCCCCCCCCCATCCCAGGCAGAGGTCTAGCCAGGCCCTGCTCATGACTAGTATCTCCTCCCACCCCACGGGGCTGCTGCTGTGTGTGTCAGAGCCATCACTTAACACAGATGGGACAGGGTGAGAAGCAGGTCTCCCTGCCCTCCTCCCCCCCTCCCACCTCCCAAGCACTGAGAGAGTGACTCGGGGCGACCCAAAAAGAGATGAATACCTTTCCATTCAAGGTCTGAAAGTGTTCTTCCACTGGTACCAAAATATAGGACTCAAACTGACATGTAGACTGAACATTGCTTGACAAGCTTCCCTTGCAGGGCACCAGGACCTGGAAAAAACAACGAGGGTGAATGCTAAGAGATGGGCCACATACAGCTTTGGCAGGACGGGCTGCATCCAGCTATGGGGACCTACTGGCTGACGGAGCCGAGTGACGGGGGTGATGAAGTCCTGGTGACAAAGCTGCGCTCCCCACCTGGGAAGAGGGGCAGGCGGTCACAGGCGCCCTGGGTCCTGCCTCACGGCCAGTGCCAGGCGCCCCACTGTATTCTCAGCAGGCTCAGGGACGGTTCCAGATGAAGACGGGGTAGTTTGGGAAAGTGAAACTAAAAAGGCACATGTAGTCCCACCACCTGAACGAGAAACCCTGCACCTCAAAGACAGCTTCCTTCCTGTCTTTTTTCCCTGCCTTTTTTTTTTTTTTAAGCCTAGTCATGATCATAGTTTGTAATGTGAGCCGCAGAAACACAACTTCCTGTGTAGACTCTCACCGTCACCAAGGTGTCTTGGCGTGCCAGACTCTGTCTTTGGGGCAGGCTCAACATGAGACGTGAACTTTGGCCCGACCGTGGCCACCACGCCGACTGGGCACCAACAAGCGAGTCTGCATGGCTCAGGGACTCTCTCAAACTCAAGTGTACCCAGAAGGAAGATGACGGCCTAGTGCCTCAGAGCCCCCTCTCCTAAAGCAACCCAGCACAAAGCAAACGGCTTCTGCACATATCCCCATCATACATACATGCCCAAGGAAACTGAGGCTCAAGGGAGCTGAGGAAACCGTCCAGGGTCACACAGCCAGTGAGTGGCGGTGCCATGACTCAAAGTCCTGCCACTTCCTGGAGCCAGTGCTGGGAGCTCAGCCCAGGGCTGGCTGGACGTCCCCCTGCAAAGACACCATAAAACTCTGCAGCCGTCGAGAGCGGCTGTCATCGGGGGCTTCCTCAGGCAGGGTAGAAAGAGCAGCATGGCCTCGCCCGCCATGGGGGACACGCCAACTCCTCGCAGCAGAAAAAGGAGGCACTTGTTGACAAAAGAACACAGCCCTGTCGATGAAGTGGCTCACCCCTCCTAAAAAAATCAAGACTGAATCAGATCAACATCTAGATTTAACTACCAATTTCAGGAAACGCAGGAAACAGAGGACCACTGTCAACACCACCATGGGACTGCAACTGGCAAAAGTCAAAATGCAGGAAACTACAGGGTGAATGACCCAGGGGAATGAATCTCAAAGAAAGAAAGGAAAGAAAGGAAGGAAAGGAAGGACAGGACAGGACAGGACAGGAAAGGAAAGGAAAGGAAAGGAAAGGGGAAGGAAGGAAAGAAAGAAGGAAGGAAGGAAGAGAAAGAAAACAAGAAAGGGGAAGATAAAACTAAAAAGACACACAAAGCTGTGGTGATGGTTTCAGAAGGCTACACAAATGTCAAAACTGACCGCATCTCACACACGCAGTATGTGTGGCTCTGCGTGCTCCAGTTTAGCTCAGCAGTGAGGAGAAAAGACAGACTTAAAGACTCCTCAATCCAACATAACTTGTGGACCTCCTCTGGATCCTGATCTGAACAAACCCACTGCAAAACAGACAAACAGACAAACAATTACGAGATGGTTTGGGAAATTTGACTAGATAGTTGACAACACTGAAGAATCATTAAGGAAATTTTTTAGCTGTGATAATGGCATTGTGGTTACATTTTTTAAGAGTCCTTATCATTTAAAAACACATCCCTAAATATCTGCAGACAAAACCACATGACAACCTGACACAATTTTTCTGGGATTTGCTTCAAAAGAATCCAGTAGCTGAGAGCGGAGGGCAGGAGGGAGCAGAAATGACATGTGACCAGCCACTGAACTGATCACTCCTGAAGCTGGGTGACAGATGCATGGGGCTCTTTATATTACTCTTTCTTCTCCTATCAAATGTTTGATATTAAGCTTAGTTGGTAGAGCATGTGACTTTTTTTTAATGTTTATTATTTTTGACAGAGAGAGAGAGAGAGAGAGAGAGAGACAGAGCATGAGTGGGGAAGGGGCAGAGAGAGGTAGCGTCAGAATCTGAAGCAGGCTCCAGGCTCTTAGCTGTCAGCAAGAACCCAACGCGGGGCTCGATCTCACAAACCACAAGATCACGACCTGAGCCACAGTCAGACGCTCAAACGACTGAGCCACCCAGGCACCCCATAGAGCATGTGACTCTTGATCTCAGGGTCATGAGTTTGAGCCCCACGTTGGGCACTGAGATTACTTAACAAAAGATATTTTTAAAACACATATAATTTTAAATTTTAATACAAGTAAAACTTAAAGAAAGAAAAGGGAGGCCATCAGATAGAAGCATGAATTGAGAAACAACCTCATGGTCGCAGGGAGCACAGAAAGAAGAGCCTGGGGACCTGAGAGCTGGCACAGGCAAGAGAACACCATGAACCAGGAGGGGGACTGTTGATTGCCCAAACTCAGGGAGGCCCAGAGATGGTCCCATGCCCGCTCCATGGATGAAGGAGTCCCACAGTCCCACGTGAGAGACCAGGGACTTCTGAGGTGCCTCGGAGAACCTCACCCCAACTGTGATTCCATTCTATTTACCTGTTTACGTGCGCCTTCTCTGCCTCCCTGATTTGAATAAAGCGCGACCGGCTCCCGCTGTACTGGATCCCCATTCCTGCTCACTGTTCGACAATACAGTAGGCACCCGATGAATGTTTGTTGAGTGAGCAGGGGTCCTCTAACATCAAGGGCCCCCCAGTTGCAGGTAGATGATGCTGCCTGGAGCATTTCATTACAGGCAGGAGCCGGGCTCCCTGGCCGAGAGGGGGGTAAGGAAGCCAGCCCCTGGAGGGCAGAGACGAGGAGCAGTAGTGAAGCTGCCCACAGGACGCGGGGTCAAGTGCAAGCGCCTCAGGGGCCCTCCCAAGCCAGAGCTTGAGACTTCTGGAGCAGACCTCATGGAGATTACAGCCTACGTGGAGGCCACAAAGTTTAGAGTCTCTGAGTAGACCCTAGGTTGGGGACCTGCTTATTTCAAAGATTAACAATAAAAGTTTTAACTCTAGCCCCTTTATAAAGAATTTTTATACAACAGTAAATAAATAAAGGACAGTAGAATAAAAGCAAGAACCAGCATTAGCAAGCTGCTACTCCTGGGTACGCTCCGGACTCTTCTCCAGGCCACGTTAGGCACTCCACGGGCGCCCAGGATGACCTCTGTCCTGACACTCATTCCTCTGAGCTACCAACGGCCTGCTTCTGGAATTCCCTGAAGGCGTGCCGTGCTCCCCACCCACCTGTGTGATCCTGGAAACCCAGCACAGTTCTGGGCTGGCACGTAGTGGGTGCTCAATAAACGTTTGTTGGCTGGATCTACGCTAAACAAGAGCTGAGAACTGGAATACAGACCTCAGTGCCCTCAGCTGGCCTGTCTAGGTATTTTACTTGGAAGTCAGTTCTTTGGAACTCGGAAGACATGCTGACAGGTTCCCAGGCGGGCCCTCAAAAGCCTAAGTACCCCATAATTCAAAGATTGCAAGGAGAGGAACAAATTTAATCTCCCTTTGAAATTTGTGTTTTTCCTGTAGGCAAATGGCCCCACCCCTAATCCACCTGGGAATCCTTGATACCCCACGGACAAGAGCCCCAGGGAAGCAGCGGGCCTGCCCAGCCCACTCTGAAGAATCCACAGTATATAATTAGCTGGGTGCTAATTAAATAGAAGCAGTGTGGGGGTGTCACAGGCCTCTGGGGTTGGAATCTGGGAAACACGGGGAGTAAGAGCTTCCTGTCCAGTCAGAGAGCAGGTGATGGCAGGAGGCGCCTGCCTGGATGCAGGCATCTGAATCATGGGAAGGTTTTGAAAGGAGTCAAACTCAAGGAGGGAGGGGGCAGGGGAGGGGGGCAGTCAGGTGCACCCTCAGCTGCCACACACTGTCACAGGAGGATGAGGCGGCCAACCAGCTGTGCTTTAGAAAGGAGTGTGAGGGGCAGGTAAACCTGGGTGGGGGGAACACATGTTCAAAAGTGATGATCACAGTTTTTTAGAGCCCAATAAACAACTCTGATGCCCAGGGCTGATTCAGGGGCAGCCAAACTTGGCCCGATGGCCAAACCCCATGGGAAAAAATTCAGCTTTCACCCGCTGGGGCGGCAGGGATCCCTGAGCGGTGGCAGAAACAATTAAGTACTCTTCCAGAGGCTACTGGAATATTCTTTTTTCATTCCACCAACAGAGGTGGACAGAACACTACTATGGGTTAGCCCATCACATAGCTGAGAGGGGCAGGAGCGAGCCATCAAGATGGGACCGGGCTGAGGCAGACAGCAGCAGTTAGCTCCTTCCCGCTGTGACTTCTGCTGGCAAGCTGGCCTCACTGATTCTCTCCCATCTACTGAAGGCCAGAAAGTCAGTGCTGCGAAATGTGGGCCCCAGACAGCTGCTGCCGGACCCTGCAGATCTCAGGAGCAGCTGGAGTAAGGACCTGGGGGCCACCAGGAGCTCGGGATGACACAGTTTATGAAGAATCTCCCGTTCCTTGGGATAGCCAGAAGGAAGGTGACCAAGATGCCGGAGTTCACATTCAGGATTTCCCTTTCGCTGAAGTGAGCTCGAGTGGGAGTCCACTTCTTGCAGCCGGAAAAGCATCTACCTGGGGACAGGAACCGTGCTACGTGCTGGCAACACAATCTGGCAAGACAGACGGGTCCCACAGGGTATTCACAGCATGGCGTTCTTAAAGAGCAAGAGAAAGTTACACGTAGTATGCTCTTATCTAGACGGTATTTTTTCAAATATAGGACAGAGATGGGGAGGACATACATCCCATATTCGGTCAGTTAACGTGACTGCTTTGTGTCCTGTACTTCTTCCCTGTGACATGAACCACAGCTGTAATTAGTACGTATTTGCCATCTCCCCCACTAGAATTTAAGCTCCATAAGGGTAAAGACGGCGAAAACTTATTCCTATATAATCCTATTTATTGTTGAACCCTCAGCATTAAACATGGTACCTTGTTCAGAGTAGCATTTAATAACTGCCGTGAAATGAACAGATGATAGTGTCTCTGGTGAACTTTAGAAGCTCCTTATTTTCTTCTTGGAAACAGCTATAGTCTTCAGTTGCTTTTGTGTGTGTGTGTGTGTGTGTGCGCGCGCTCATGCGCGAACATACATATATAGACACACACACATGTATACGTTGTACATAATGAACTTTGTGACTTCTTCAAACCGAAGTAAAGTAACTCTGGGACAAATCTATGAATCACAAAGTGGACCCTAAAACCGGGGAGGAACTTGGGGAAAGCAGGCTGCAGAGGCCGCAGGACAGAAAGGGGAAGGTGAAAGTCAGCTCCCATTTCCCAGACAAGGCAGCCAACAATGAACGTGCAGTGAACCCGAGTAAGCTGCCTTCTCCTCCAGCTCAAACCCTTGGCCGCAAAGCAGGAACCCGGCCTGAGAAGAGGGCAACACACACGAAGAAGCACAAAGGCAAGAAAACGAGCAGGCAGCAGCCCGAAGGCACCGAGCATTCTGTGTGGCGCAAGGCCGTGTACACAAGAGGCGGCCGTCACCACCCAAGCACTGGAAAGGTCTGCGCTGCGGGGCCTGCCTCCCTGCAGGCAGCAGGTGCCCCAGCGACAAACCGTGGTTTGTCTTATGCGCTTCCCTCCTCCTGCAATCTGGATGCCTCGATTATTCCACCAGGTCCTCCCCTTTAGGAAATGCCTTCCACAGCAATGTACGAATGCGTTTATAGCTCCCTTATTCCATGCAAGTGAGCACACACCTCACAGACAAGGAGCCTGAGGCCCTGAGGGAAATATGACGTCTGCCCCCAGAGGCCCTCATGGTCAACATGGAGACAAGAGAAACAGAGGTGAATATCATGAGATCAACGTCATCAGGGGCTGTCAATAATGTCATCAGAGAAAGGATTACACCCGAGGCTGGTGCAACACCAGGAGGCTTCCTGGAGGGGGCAGCTCGTGGTGGTCCCTCTCTATTGTTCACATACTGAGCGTGGCCAGGGGCTTGTTATACTGAGCAAGTTTGTAACTGACTCCCTCTATGCCTAACCAAATTCGACAGTATGTCTGGCCTCGTCGGCACTGCCTGGTCCACGCCTAATGGAGAAGGATGACCCTCAGGCTTGAGGCACTTACAATGCCATGGATTTGGGCCACCTTGTTGCATAAGTCAGGACGCCACTTCTGAAGAGCCAGATAGAAAGGATTTTTCAGGAGATCTTCGTCATATAGAGCCATATGGACTTCAGATGGGGCAGAGACCGTCTCCTGGGACAAGGAAAGAAAAAGCAGTAAATGACCACTTTCAGATTTATATAACACGGAAAAGTCCTGTTCTGGCAACTTCTAAAAAGCATCTCTGACATGTATTATTCTACTCTACAGACTTAACACCCCATCAGGAAATATCAAAGATAACCCACCAATTCCAAGATGAGTTGTTTTACTGGCTAACTGTATACATTACATCCTGAAAATCTTAAGCTCCAAATCATTGCAAAAAATAAAAATGGCTATTTTTAGAACATCCTCTGTGACCAAAATTATGACATTTTAAATATATGTGTGTATTCTGAATGAAATACTTTAAGCCTACAGGAACAATGGAAACCTGCCACCCTGGATTACCAAATTTAACACTTGGCGTATTTGCTTCAGAGTTTCTTTTAAGAAGTTTATCAGAATAGACTGGAATCCCCCTATGCCCCTCTGATCCTATTCCCTCCTCCTCTTTTGGAACCAACCACTATTCTTGTTCACGTTTCTATTCCTTTAATACGCGTGCATTCATAAATAATATAAAATATTCTTTTAGGAGCTTCAGAATTTCCATACTTGGCTTCACGCTGCAAGTATCCTGGAACACGCCTCTTCCAATCAACAAGTTTTCAAATCCTAGCTATGCTGATCCATACAGATCAGACGTTCCTTCACTAACTTCTGATGTCTAGTATTCTTTTAAGGGAACATGACACAATTTATTTAGCTGATATCCTATATTGCATCCACATTTTCGGGATTACAAACAATGCTGGAATGAACTCGCTTATGCCCTTATGTGTAAAGCCTGAGCACATATGTGGGAACGTCCCTAGGAGAGGCAGACCCACCTGCTTTCTACTTCCATGAAAAGAGCATGGGTGCACCCCTCCCTCACACCACATCCTAGCCAACCCTTTTTAGTATTGTCCAATTATCTCATTTCTGCCAGTCTGGGAGTATAAAATAGTATTTTGCTGTTTTTAATTTTCATTTCTCTAATGAAATTGAACATCGGGACTCCTGAGCGGCTCAGTTGGTTGAGTGTCTGACTCTTGGTTTTGGCTCAGGTCATGACCTCGCCGTTCATGGGCTCAAGCCCCACATTGGGCTCTGCGCTGACAGTGCAGCGCCTGCTCGGGATTCTCTCTCTCCCTCTCTCTCTGCCCCTTCCCTGCCCACGCTGTCTCTCTAAATACACTTAAACAAAAAAAGAAAAAGAAAAACAAATTGAACGTCATTTCCTTATGTTCTATAAATTGCCTTATCACGTCTTTCGCCCACTTTTTACATGGGTTGTTGGCCTTTTTCTTACCATTTATAGTTCTTTATGCATCTGGATACTAAAAGGTCTTGCAAATATCTTCTCCCGATCTGTGACCTGTCTCCTCATTTTTTCAAATGGATATTTTCAGAAATAGAAGTATTTGATTTTAATGTGGCTGAACCTGTCAACCCTTGCCTTAATGGTCAGTGCTTTGTGGATCTTAGGAAATCCTATCATCTGGAGTACCTTTCTGCAAAGTGACTTCATCATTCTCCCTTTCAGAAGGTGGAGTCTACCTCCCCACCCCTGTGAATCTGAGCCAGCCCTGTGACTGCGTTAGCCAACCAACAGACAGAAGTGATGCTCTGGGATTTTAGAGTGTCAGCCTCAAGAGACTGCAGATTCCACACCCTTTCTCTTCGCACCCTAAGACCACCACACTATGAAGAAGCCTGTGAGGGGCGCCTGGGTGGCTCAGTCGGTTAAACATCTGACTTTGGCTAAGATCATGATCTCACAGTTTGTGGGTTCGAGCCCCGTGTCAGGGTCTGTGCAGACAGCTCGGAGCCTGAAGTCTGCTTCAGATTCTGTGTCTCCTTCTCTCTCTCTGCCCCTCTCCCATTCATGCTCTGCCTCTCTCAAAAATAAATAAAAACATTTTAAAAATTAAAAAAGAAGAAGAAGAAGAAGAAGAAGAAGAAGAAGAAGAAGAAGCCGCCCATGGGATGAAGGACCATGAGGGGAAGAGAGGCCCATGTGGTCCAGTGAGTACAGCCAGCCAGCCCACCCACCAGCTGAATGCAGCCATGTGAGTCCAGGTGAGACTAGCAGAAGAACCAGTCTGCCAGCCCATGAATAGTAGGAAACAATAAGTCGTGGCAGTTTTAAGCCACTAAGTTTTGGGCTGGTTTACTATGCAACACAGACTACTTGAAATCATATCCTTTCAACTCCAAAACCATAATCACTATAATTCCTAAGAATCTTCGTTTTTATATATACTATAAATTAGGCATCTAATTTAATTTCTTTCCTATATGGTAAGCTATCTTGGGCTGTTTGGGCTACTAACACAAAAAGTACAGACTGGGCGGCTTAAATTTACTTCTCATAGTTCTGGAGGCTGGAAGCCCAAGAACAAGGTCCTGGCAGATTTGGTTTTTGATGACCCACTTCCTAGTTTGTAGACTGCCACCACCTCGCTGGGTCCTCACATGGCAAGAGTTCTCCTGTCTTTTCCTCTTTTTACAAGACTGTTCATTCCATCACGAGGGCCCCATGACCTAATCTAACCCCTATGAATCTCAACGCCTGACCCCCAAATACCATCACATTAAGGATTAGGATTTCAACATATGAATGGCGGGGTGGGGGCACAAAAATTCAGTCCATAGCATAAGCCAACTGTCCCATCATGCTTTTTTGAATAGTCGATCACTTTCACACTGGCCAATAATGCTACCTTTGCTATATTCCAAGTCCCTATATATGTTTAGCTGGTTTCTGAGCTCTACGCTATTTCAACAGTCTAACCAGTACCATCCAACACTTGAGAAATGTAATTACATACACACTATGCATAAACACATATAACTTAAAATTTTCTGGTAGTCACATTAAAAAAGAAACAGGGGTGGGGGCGCCTGGGTGGCGCAGTCGGTTAA